TGCCTTCTGCACGCCGGGGAACAGCTCTTCAGTGCTGTGCAGGAGGTGCTGGGAGGAAGGGGGAGGAGCGGGGATGGGATGCGCTCGGGGCAGGAGGCAGAAAGAGGCATGGAAGAGGAGGGGCCGGGCTGGAGTGGGGGCGGGAAGAGATGGAGCGGGCGTGGGGCCTTGGGGGAAGGGGTGGAGTGGGGGGCTAGGGGATCCGTGAAAATTTTAAAATCAAAATGGGGGTCCTCGGGTTGCTCAAGTTTGAGAACCGCTGCTCTATAGGGTCAAATAGTTTATTGGCATCTGTGAGTCCTGGCAGATCGATCTGTAACCACAGGTGAGGGAGGAGGCCAGTGTGTTACAGCAGCAGATAGCGGCACTGGGCCCTTTGGCTCCTGCTCTATCAGCTCACACTCTTAACTCTGGAGATCCCTGGTGTGCTGGCCAAGGTGGTGGCCATCAAAGATACACAGCTGGCCTCCCTTCCACAGCAGCCCACAGGCTACCATTGTTCTGGCCAGAGGAAAAAGAAATTGACAATGCTTCAGAGCCAACTTCTTAGCTCTGGCCCCTCAATGTGGAGTTAGAGACTTGCATAGTGACCAGCCTGCTTGAGGCACCTTTTCCTCATGTTGGGGACTCATAAAGATCTCCAAGGTGGCCCTGTGGGGGGCAGGATGGGGGCAGCGCTGCCCAGAGGGGATGCTGGCTGGCCTGGGGGGCGCCGGCCAGGCTGGGGGGCGCTGCTATTATATTATAGTTATATTATAACTATTATAACATCAGTCATTCATTTTTCTGCCATCCAAAGCAGAGTCTCCCTCCGCCCCTGGGCACATACCTCTCATTCCTGCAGGTCCAGGGTCACCTTTGGGCCCCATGGGACCAGGAATCCCAGGGCAGCCTTGGAGAACAGCGAGCTTCTCTGAACCACTGAGACCCACGATTTTCACGTCTGGAGAAATAAATGACATGTGAGAAGGTCCATAGGATTGAACCATTCTGCAGTTCCCTGAGAGAAATAAATCCTGCAAATGAGAATCTCCACAAGATAGCTTCCTTTTCCTTTTCTAATACAAAAACCACAGCCTCAATTTGAGGAATTAAGAGGCTATTTAAAATGTTCATGGATTTGCATGTATTAAATTAACCACCAGAAGAGACTGGACAGCAGACACTGGAGAACCTCAACAAAGATTTTCAAGTGACACTAAAACTGGTGGAAAGAGAACAGAAGGACTTGTGGCATCTTAGAGACTAACGAATTTATTAGAGCATAAGCTTTCATGGACTACAGCCCACTTCTTCGGATGCATAAAACTGGTGGATTAGCAAGAATCTGGGTGAAAACTAATCACGCTGCCATGTGACCTGGATAGATGAGAGCAGTGGGGCTGCAAGCAACAAGAGAAGACTCAAGGCTTGTAAATGTGAAGTCAGTGGGAGTTTTCTCATTGCCTTCATTGGGAACAGGATGGATTGTACCCCTACAGCTGGGGAGAGGAAATCAAGAAAGCTACACAGGATGTAACCAAGCAGCCTCACCTACTGCGTTAAACACAAGCCGCCGTCATTGCTTTCACCTTGTCTTATTAATACGATCCCAGGGACGTTTTCCTACAACCATGTACTGCTGCAAGAAAGGGAGGTAACCAGGGTTCAGGAGGCTGGGAAGAAAGTATCTTTGAGCAGCTCTTAAGAAGGGTGAAATAAGGGAACATTTGAGAAATGCCAAAGTATTGTGTGAATTTCCATAAACTTTAGAGACTTGCTGACTTTCACATTCATTCCAAAGATCTGAATAATATCTCCCTAGGAGCAAACCAAAAGTAGCTATGGGTAGAGGTATCTATTCTATTCTAGTTTACTTCTTATATCAGACTTATTCTGTTCTCTTCCTTACATCAGATCTGTTCTATTCTCACTTGATATCATGTGCATCATATTCTGTTCCTTTTATTAGGCCTATTCTATTCTATCCATCATATTCTATTCCTTGTATCATTTCCATCTCTGTAGTATCTGAGCTCACTGGACAGAATCAGTAGAGAATGGAATACGGCAAGATTTTCATTTCATCAGATTATTCTTTAACTGGAGAATGTTGCTGTTCGAGGACTGCCGAAGAATAAAATCAGGGCTGATGTAATAAAAAGCATCTCATCTCGTGAATGCCATTCTTCTCCAGTCTAGTAGCGGTGGGTTTCACAGCCCCTCTGCTCTGTCTCATACTATGCCATGGAACAGCCCAACAGCAATGGAAAGGCATTAGTTATACAGTGCAAATGTGAGCCGTCTTGTTTCTTGATTAAAAGTGATTTAATTAAGGAAGAAAATTAGAAGGGCTAATATTAAACTTCATATTCTGACTGATGAGGAATTCTGTGCTTTCTAAATTCTGCATCTTAAAATGGGAACCAGTCAGATCCATGTTGTTAAAAGGTAACAGGTTTGTCTGTGACTCACCTGGGCAGGTGTCTGGAGCCTCAGAAACCACAGCTGCTAGACAGAGTAAGGCGAGGAGGGTTTGCTGGACAGCTCTCCCCATGGCTGGTGCTGGTCTCTGCAACGGCAGCTCCACTCGTCTCCTCATCTTCATGCTGTGTTAGCATCTCAGCCCTGGGAGCCTTTCATATCATATGAAAATACAAGAAATAAACTCCACCTCGGAACTCTAATCTCCCTTACACCCCAGTTCCCACGTTCCAGCTGGAAAATGGCTTCCCCTTGGCTTGTTGTGCAGACACTTTCCCAACTTCAAGAATCTGATAAGAAAGTTTCCTGTCACATTGTACCTCCTGTGTGACTCAGTCAATATTTTGGTGCCAGTGGTCTGCTTCCCATTAATTTTACTTGCTTTCCTGTAAGTGTCGGTGTCAGCAATTCTTCATTTAACTCCTTTACACCAAAGAGTTGAGATTATTTTCCAGCTAGAGCTTCATTCCACGGATGTCAGGGCGGAAGATCAATCTGGCCAAGAAGGATATGTAATTATTTTTCTTGACAGCCTAAGCATTGCAAAATCTCCGAGAGGATGTTTACACCTGCTCCAAGACAGTGGCGCTGTTAGATCATTAGATCCCGAGAAAGGATTTCACAGGGTTGAACACATCTGTTCATATCCTGGTTTTTACTTGCTACCTAGTGCTTTACACAGTGAAGAATTGCAGGTTTGATATTGTTGTAGTCTTCAGAGTGATCTCAGTTCTAACTACTTGTTTGTTGTTAAATTGTTCATAGAATCATAGAATATCAGGGTTGGAAGGGACATCAGGAGGTCATCTAGTCCAACCCCCTGCTCAAA